TCTCTCTCTCTCCCTCTCTCTCTCCCCTTCTCTCTCTCCCCTTCTCCCCTTTTTTCTCTCTCCCCTTCTCTCTCTTCCTCCCCCTCTCTCCCTCTCTCTCTCTCCCCTTTTCTCCCTCCCTCCCGCTCTCTCCCCTTTCTCTCTCTCTCTCTCCCCTTCTCTTTCCCCTTTTCTCTCTCTCTCTCCCCTTCTCTCTCTTCCCCCTCCCTCTCTCTCTCTCTCCCCTTTTCTCCCTCCCTCCCCCTCTCTCTCCCCTTCTCCCCCCCCTCTCTCTCTCACTGACCTCATAGGAGGCAAGGGACAGAGCTGATAATAATTAAGAATTCTGATTTTTTTTCTCATCTTGGCTGATGGCTGGGTGGCCAGATTTACCTTGAATGGTACAGGTTAAGTACAAGTAGTCCTTGACTTACAACAGTTCGTTTACCGATCGTTCAAAGTTACAACGGCACTGAAAAAAAAGGGATGAGAACCCACAAGTGATTTTTTCACACTTAGAACTATTGCAGCATCCCCATCGTCAAATGATTTACATTCGGCTGCTTGACAACTGACTCGCCTTTATGACGGCTGCAGTGTCCCGGAATCACGTGACCCGCTTTTGCGACCGTCTGTCGAGCAAAATCAATGGGGAACCCAGTGATTCACTTAACGACTGTGTTACTAACTTAACAACTGCAGTGACTCACTTAGCAACTGTGGCAAGGAAGGTTGTAAAAAGGGGCAAAACTCAACCACCGTTTCACTTAGCAACATCAATTTTGCCTCTATTGCGGTCATAAGTCGAAGGCCACCTGTAAGTGTCTGGCTCCCTCAGGATGAAGCAGCCGAGGTGGGGCGAGGCCTTGAAGGGCTTTTCCTTCCATCCCGTGGTGAACAGGGTGCAATTTATTTCTCTCTTCTGTTCTCCGTTCTACAAAGCGGTGATAGTGTGTGTTGTTGTCTTCGGAATAAGAGGACAGCGAAGGTTGCTGGCTCAGTTACCTTGGGGAGACGCAAGGACTTTAAAACCAGTGTGTGTGTGTGTGAACCTCAACTTCTAAATGGAGCCTTATTGACCAGTCTCTGAGAATAAATGGGGGAAAAGTGACGGTTAGAATTCAGTATTGCAGGCTAATTCTGCTGACTGCCGGCTGTCAGCAGTTCGATCCTCGAGGTTGACTCAGCCTTCCATTCTTCCGAGGTCGGTAAAATGAGGACCCAGATTGTCGGGGGCAACATGCTGACTCTGTAAACCGTTTAGAGAGAGCCGTAAAGCACTGTGAAGTGGTATATAAGTCTAGCTCAGGGGTAGGCAACCTTGGCTCTTTTATGACTCGTGGACTTCAACTCCCAGAATTCCTGAGCCAACATGGCTCAGCTTGGAAACCTCTCCCTTTCCCCTCAGCATGGCTGGCTCAGGAATTCTGGGAGTTGAAGTCCACGAGTCATAAAAGGGCCAAGTTTGAAGACCCCTGCTCTTAATCTTCGTCCTAGGATAGGGGTAGGCAACCTTGGCTCTTTTATGACTCGTGGACTTCAACTCCCAGAATTCCTGAGCCAGCATGGCTCAGGTTGGAAACTCTCCCTTTTCCCTCAGCATGGCTGGCTCAGGAATTCTGGGAGTTGGAAGTCATAAAAGGGCCAAGTTTGAAGACCCCTGGTCTAGGTGCTATTGCTATTAACCAAAACCAGAGCTTGGGCCGGTTTTACAGAAGTCCTGCAAGGCCATTGTGAACGTACAGCTGGTCCCCGACTTACAACAGTTCATTTAGTGACCGTTCAAAGTCCCAACAGCACTGAAAAAAAGTGACTTAACGATCATTTTTCAGTTACGACTTTTGCAGCATTCCCGCGATCACACCATCAAAATTCAGTTGATTGGCAACTGGTTCATCCCGTTGGGCTTTTTTGCACAAGTCGGCCGGCTGGGGGATTCTGGGAGTTGAAGTCCGCACAGTCTTCCAAGCGGCCAAAGTTCAGAAACACTGGCCTGCAGAAAACCAGTGTCAAAGTCTGTTCCCAAAGCACTAAAATCTTGGTTTTCCTTTAGCTGGTTTCGAAAAAAGCACCCTCAGTGCGAGCCTCCCATCGCCATCCCGCCCAGCCCGGAGACGAAGGATCGGTGGAGGAGCATGACGGTGGTGCCTTACTTGGAAGACCTCCATGGCTACAACGAGGAGGAGGAGGACGACGACGACTTAAAAGATGACTACTTAGAGGACGAGATCATTTACACTCAGGATTTCACCATGCCAGGTAAGGAATGCGGCTGGGGCCGGAAGTGGGCAAGGACCGTGGCCTGGAGGACCATAAAGGAGCAGAGCGAGCTGGGTGACTCTTAATAGTTTGCAGCCTTTGAGGGCTGATGGGTCCTTCTTGGGATTCCCACCCCTATCCTGAGACTTTGTGTGTAGCTACACCAGCCTGCTGAGGCTCCACTTTAAAATGGAGGCTGTCGATTTATCTCCGTCTAAGTACAGGTAGTCCTTGACTTACAACCGTTCATTTACCGACCGTTCGAAGTTACCAGCTCACTGAAAGAAAGTGACTTATGACCGCCTCTCGCACTTAACAACTGTCACAGCATTCCCCCACAGTCACATGATTAAGATTTGGGTACTTGGCCACCGGCATATACCCGTGTTTCCCCGAAAATAAGACCGGGCCTTTTTTGGGGGGGGGCTCCAAAAGAGGCACCAGGCCTTATTTTCAAGGGGTGTCTTTTATACTCAACTCTGGCACCGGCAGCCCCACCCAGCCGGCCCACTTAATAATAATAATAATAGTAAAGTTGGAATGGACCTTGAAGGTCATCTAGTCCAACCCCCTGCTCAGGCAGGAAACACTATACCATTTCGGACAAATGGCTGTCCAGTCTCTTCTTAAAAACTTCCAGTGTTGGAGCATTCACCGCTTCTGGAGGCAGGTAGTTCCACTGGTTAATTGTTCTCACTGTCAGAAAGTTTCTCCTTAGTTCTAGGTTGCTTCTCTCCTTGATTAGTTTCCACCCCACACTTCTTCTGACCGAAGGAGCAGCTTCATTCTGCAGCTGCATTCCGGCCTGCATTTTGCAGTCGGGCCTTTCCGGAAGGCCACTACAGCTGAGTACCAAGCTATGGATTCAATCCGTAGCTCGGTTCTCGGCTGCACTGGCCTTCCGGAAAGTCCTTTGACTGAGAAATGCAGGCCTGGCTGCAGAAGACGCCGCAGAAGAAGTGGGCTAGCGAGGAGAGGCCTGGCTGCAAGGTGAGTGGATGGGGGGGCGCGTGGGGCAGCTCCACACTCCCACCCTAGCTTGATTTTCAGGCATGCGCCTCGCCCCAAAACTAGGGCTTATATTAGGCCCACCCTTCAAAATTATGCTAGGGCTTATTTTGGGAGTAGGCCTTACTTTTGGGGAAACGGGGTATTTACAGCGGTGGCCCGTGACATCCTGGGTCGTGGGATGCCCAGTCGTGACCGTCCGTGCTGACTTTCAACAAGCAAAGTCAGTGGGGGAAGCCGGATTCAGTTAACAACCACATGAATGTGACTCACTTAAGAACCATGGCAAAAAGCGGTTGTGAAATTGGGTGTGGCTCACTTGACTGCTTTGCTTAGCGGCAGAAATTCTGACCTGCGTTGCGGTTGTAACTCAAGGACTCCTGGTAGCTCTCCCTGAAATCAGCCAGGAGAGGCTGCTTACGGCTGCAGAGATGGTCTTTTGTAGCGTTTGGGGAGCCCGTCCGTCCGTTCAGGATCCGGGGTTGTTGCCAAAGGAGCTCAGGGGATGGGGCCTCCTCTGTATGTCCTTTTTCCACACGATGGCAAAAAAAAAAAAAAAAAATCCCTCCCCCCCAAAATTGCACAGGGGTGAGAACGAATTCATTTATATCTCTGTCCCCTTGGCACAGATACTGAGGGATGCGTCGCTCGGGAATTTCGAAAGCACCCCAAAGTGATTCCACATCAGTATTTTAACAAGCTCCTTCATTGCTCAAGACCTGGGTGTTGAATGCTGGGCAGTTCAGCGTGAATGGACAGTGCTTTGTTTTGCATTGAACTTGGGGTCTGTTTATGCAGGAGTGTTTCTCCACAGAAGGAGCGACTGTCTGGTATGCCTACCCCTGGAAGATAGATTTGGTTGAGTGTTTGGAAAACCAGACTGGAAGCACAAATGCAGAAGAACAGCCTCCACTCCCTTTGGCTGTAAGAATTTTAGCTTAGGCAGCTTTTGGGTGACAGACCTCATTATTGCTGGATTCTGTCCCAGTTGGTGATGACTAGGGCAGGTTGGATCTGGATGAGACTTCCACCAGATGTGCCCGATGGACGGTTCCGGGTCTGCACGAGGCAGGGGAATTCTCCAATTTGCCACATCCCACCCATTTGGAGGACATCACGTTAGACAGGCCGCAAAGGTCCCTGCGTTGCTTTACTTCTTTGTTATTTCCCCCACGGATTTGGAAAGCTCCTTCCTTCTCCTCCATCCTTTCTGAAGTTTATTTCTGAGGCCAGCTCTCGAAATAGCTGGGTTCGCGCTGCATTCAGAAGATTTTCGATTCTCCCATTAAGGCAGGGGTGTCAAACTCAATTTCATTGAGGGCCGCATCAGCATTACGGTTGTCCTGGGGGGGGGTGGCCAGGGTGGGTGCGGCCTACTGGGTGGGCGTGGCTGGAGTGGGTGTGGCCTACTGGGTGGGCATGGCCAGCTCTACATCATTTGCGTCAAGGGTGCCTGTGGGGGCCTGGGCAGGAGTGGGACAGATCTGAGGGTCTCTGGCAGAAGGGGGGGGGACCGGGGCAAGCGCCAAGGCATGGTCCATTTCTTCATTCCTCACAAAGGGTGACCCCTCCCCAGCATGCACCCAGAGGGCGGGGCCAACACAACAGGGGCTGGTTCCTCGCTGTTTCTAGACGGCCTTGTGGAGCTAAGACTGAATGCGTTTCAGCATAGATGGCCACCACAAAATTGTACATTGGCTCCCGGCCGGCCTGGGCCAGGGCCAAGGCAGTGGGGGCCGTTCTCTCACTGTTTCCAGGATGGCTTCGCGGGCCACATGAAACCACTTCGCGGGCCGCATCCGGCCTCCGGGCCTTGTGTTTGACATGTCTGCATTAAGGTTACGTTTCCATCCCACTGAAAAGTGCTCCGGTTGTTGGCCACAATTGCTAATGGCAGCCAAGCTCTTGTTTTGGGGGGGGGGGAAAGAGAAGTGGGGGGGACAGTTGGGAAACAAATGCTTCCAAGGGAAGGGGGTGTGACCTCTAAACCTGAAATTGGCAGTTTACAAGTTTTAATAGTTTAGTCCTTAATGCAAGTGGCAGAGGAAGAGAAGATCTTACTTGACTTCGGGCCATGCCTTTTGACACCTGTGTTGTGTGGTTTAAATCAGGGGTCTCCAACCTGCAGGCCCCTTCCTGTCTCTGATGACAGCCCCCAAGTAATATATGATAATATA